GGTCCGTGCCATTGTTAGCTACCCATTTGTCACTCGTCGCGAGGGACCGGAGCAACTCTTGTTCGTACTCTCGAACAGACAGCAGCTGACAAGGCAGTCATTCACAGTAACAGTATGGTCTCTTGTCGCTGCGGCCGGTGTACCATCCCAGTCGAACTACTCCGGGCATTCGGTCCACATTGGTGTAGCCACCACCGCTGCTATGGCTAGTGCCCCCGACTCCTTCTTCCGAGTGGCAGGTCAGTGGAAAGAGCGATGCGTGTCTATGCTACATCCAGACTACAACAAGCGCATAGCGCCAGCTATCGTCCCGGCTTGCTGCCGTGCCATGGATGCCATGATCCCCAACTCGGGTGAGTAATGAGCTACTGAACTCTAGCTGCGCAATGCTTGCCTGTGCTGACATAAATTGACCCTTGCTGTGCGTCAATAGTGCTTAGCTAACGGAGTGCTGGTTTCATGGGTCCACTCTCACAACTGGTGTTATCTAGCTATTTGCTGCGGCTCTGCCTTGCGCTATATTACATCCATTTAGCATTGCAGCTCTACGTTGAGCTAACAGCAGCTCTACTTTGAGCTAACAGCAGCTCTACTTTGAGCTAACAGCAGCTCTACTTTGAGCTAACAGCAGCTCTACTTTGAGCTAACAGCAGCTCTACTTTGAGCTAACCGCAGCTCTACTTTGAGCTAACAGCAGCTCTACTTTGAGCTAACAGCAGCTCTACCTTGAGCTAACAGCAGCTCTACTTTGAGCTAACAGCAGCTCTACTTTGAGCTAACAGCAGCTCTACTTTGAGCTAATCGCAGCTCTACTTTGAGCTAACAGCAGCTCTACTTTGAGCTAACCGCAGCTCTACTTTGAGCTAATCGCAGCTCTACTTTGAGCTAACAGCAGCTCTACTTCGAGCTAACAGCAGCTCTGCTCTGAGCTAACACCAGCTCTACTTTGAGCTTCAAACCAGTTGTTTCGAAACCAGCACTCCTCAATCCAAAGATGCCTCTTTGTTGACTTGTTTGTGTGAGGGATGGGGCTAATGGTGTACTAGCTGTGCTAGTACTTGTTAGCAACAATCCGAACTAGCGCACACACTGCACTGCATTGCTTTGTACTGCATTCAAGACTGACGTCATGCGCTTTGTTTTGCTGCGTAATCACAAATGGCACCAGCCCATTTTTGCGGAAAAGAAAAACAAATCTTGCTTGCCCTGTTGTGCTCTTCCAGACAACGGATCGTGCTTCAGCAGTGTTTCTTTTCCCACCATCCCTCCCTATCCAACTTATTCACACCATCATAATATTATCGTACCCACTAACCGGGTCCACTCTCACAACTGGTGTTATCTAGCTATTTGCTGCGGCTCTGCCTTGCGCTATATTACATCCATTTAGCATTGCAGCTCTACGTTGAGCTAACAGCAGCTCTACTTTGAGCTAACAGCAGCTCTACTTTGAGCTAACAGCAGCTCTACTTTGAGCTAACAGCAGCTCTACTTTGAGCTAACAGCAGCTCTACTTTGAGCTAACAGCAGCTCTACTTTGAGCTAACCGCAGCTCTACTTTGAGCTAACAGCAGCTCTACTTTGAGCTAACAGCAGCTCTACCTTGAGCTAACAGCAGCTCTACTTTGAGCTAACAGCAGCTCTACTTTGAGCTAACAGCAGCTCTACTTTGAGCTAATCGCAGCTCTACTTTGAGCTAACAGCAGCTCTACTTTGAGCTAACCGCAGCTCTACTTTGAGCTAATCGCAGCTCTACTTTGAGCTAACAGCAGCTCTACTTCGAGCTAACAGCAGCTCTGCTCTGAGCTAACACCAGCTCTACTTTGAGCTTCAAACCAGTTGTTTCGAAACCAGCACTCCTCAATCCAAAGATGCCTCTTTGTTGACTTGTTTGTGTGAGGGATGGGGCTAACTGGGATGAAAGAGCGTGTCCAGTTCCTTGCATGGTCATTGGTGAGCCGTGCTGTGTCTGTGTGGCCGGTGTCCTTGAAGACTGAGAGGCAGAAGTCTCGGAACCTTCCCGCAAATTCCGGTGGATTTCGGCATACCGCTGAAGGGCGGATCGCAGGGTGGCGACCGTCCACGACTGATGGCTCGATGTTCGCCATTCCTCTAGCTTGGTGAGTACTTCCGTAAGGAACTTGGACAAAATGTGCTGCACCAATAGTGGCTGCTGTTCAACGCTAATGCCCATGGCAGACAGCTGTCGTAGTATCCGTTCGATGTTGTCAATGGTGTTCCGGATATCACGGTGTTTGGACGATGTGCTTTGCAATCGCTGCAGCTTGGTATACAGGGCAGCAACAATATCATCTGTCCGCCCGTATCGTTCTTTCAGTAGCTGTACGGCCGTGGCATAGTTGTTGTTGGTGATAGCCAGACCAGCGAGCGTGTGGGCAGCTCGGCCAGTGAGGGCACTCTTCAAGTAGCTCAGCTTAACGACATCGGACATTGGCTGTTTGTCCACGGCAGTTTCAAACAGGTCCCAAAAATCGGGCCAGTTGGTGACCTGCCCGTCGAAGCTCGGTATTTCCATCGGTTTTAGCTTGAACACAACGGAGCTTGGGCCGGCTGCAGCGGATGTGCTGGTGTGTTGTGGAGTTTGGTTTTGGCTCAAAGCCTGGGCGACATTCATAACTGCGCCCTGAAGAGCTTGCTCCAGTGGGGCAATAGCATCGCGTGGCCAGGTTGTGGCTGGTGGAGGGGCCGTCCTGTCCTGGCGGCGACAGAATGGTCTGGTGGATAGAATGTTTCTGCATCTGGCTGAAGCTGTTGTACTGCTTGTCTGTCCTGGGTCTCCTGCTGGAGGTAATGCTCATAGTCATAGGCCCTGTCCTCCTCACCACTGCCATAGGTGGGACTTGGGCTGGGCACCGCATGCACTGCTGGAGTGGCAGCAGTTCTACCAGTGCCAGGGCCAATGGCATGCCTGACACGTGGTTTGGGGACTGGTGGCACTGGTGATCTTGGTTGGCTTCTGACACTGACTGCTGCGCTGGTTTCCTGTGCATTTGCTGCGCTGGCAGGAGACTCAGTTGCATCTACTACATGTACAATGTCATGAAGCACTGCACTTTGTGCGTGTGACTGTTCAGCCGACTCACATTGGGACTGTCGCGGTGGCTCAACAGTGTCACAAGCACTTGAAGTAGCAGTGTCGATATCCGTGTCGGCACTCTTCTCACTCCACGCATGTAGTGTTGGCGACGCATGACATGTTGGTTTTGGTCCGCTGCGAGGGCTAGACATGGCCGCATCAAGAACATCTAGCGCGCGTGGCCCATGCTCTTCTAGTAATCGGAGTCGGGTGCGGCGTTCGTCTTCAGCTTCATACTGAGTGCGAGAGTGGTGGTCGCATTGTTGTAAACATTGTGCGAGCCTCAGCAAACACACGCATTCAAGTTCGAAATTATTCTCCCACGCGTCTTGTTCATCTAATTTCTTATCCTCGTTTGCGTCTTCTAAGCTCCGTCTAATATTGTCTTGGATACCCTCGATGTTTGACTTCAAACCGGACGCCTCATCGTAAAGGGAACGTGCGGCAGAAACATCTAGGCGGCCAAGAGCGTCTGCGCTGAAACAATCAGTTCCTAGCAGGTCTAGGTGAATTTTTATCTTTTGCCTCACCCTCGTCAGTCGACGCTTCATGTTGGACCTCGATTGGATCATCTGCTTGTATTCGGGGGTGGACGAGACTAGCAGCCGCTCCGGGTCTCCTGCACCAGCGTCCGTGCCATCGGTCTGGTCCTTGCTGGCGTCCTCATTACCGGCCTCATGGGACTCATCCGCTGTACCATCCACGGCTCGTGGATCTACGCTCGTTTGAGCGGCTTGGGTCACCGGTAATTCTGCAGCAGCTGCACCGGTTGACTCGACATGCTGTTCCTGTTCACAGGTTGTTTGTTCGTTGGGTGACGACATCCTGGTCACAGCACCATATCTCGGTTGACGCACAACCTAAACGTCTCGAGAGAGTTTCACTTTACTAATCCCAACCAATCCAGTCACACAAGTAACTACAGTTAGTGATTCCAACTTACTTCTCAAATCCGTACCCTCATTCCCAAAGAGTTACTGGATACGAGCCAAGACAATGTACAACCTTTCTCTACCATCACAAAGGAATAATAACTGGCTGGCTGCAAGAGCAGCGGAAGTCAAGCCGAGAATGTCGCGTGCACTACGGACTGCACGATGGAACATGTAAACCTAGGAACGGCTATTCATGCACCGACTAGAGTAGAGGCAAAGTGTACTAATGGTGAAACACAATGTCAGTAGGGGACAAGAGTAACTAGAGTCAGCTATGCACGACTAGACCAGGCCGAGTCATGACAGCAGTCATTACACTACAAGTGGTACATCGGGATGCAGATCACGACAATGTTGTGCAGCTCCCATGCGTGAACATTCCCTGACGGTTTGTATAAGTAATGTACACCAGTTCTTCTGTGCTCGCCGGCGAACGAGCGCAAATGCAAGTCATTTCGTTCCTCCCAAGAAGCATGGCTGTTCCCTTTCCAGCTTATTTTATTTTATTTTTTATTTCATGAAAGTGCACATGCCTACCTAGAATGGAAGAGAACAACAACAACCACAACAACAACAAGAACAACAACAACGACGACAAAAGCAAGAGAACATAGGAGACTACAAAGGGCTTGTAGGTGCTATAAAGCTGTGCCGGTGAGGTGAATTGCGCTCCCCCAACCAGTGGTCTCGAGATCAAGGCGTACACCACGCACCATTCCAATCGAGACTACTGTTTGGTTAAGTTTGACTATCGTATTTCCCCGAATATAAGTCACACCTGTTTACACTAAACTCCAACAGCAAAGAGGGGGATGCACCTTACAATCGAGTGTAACATCCTACTTATATGCCTCAAACCTGAGAGTGGGGGTGCAACTTATAATCCGGGAAATACGATGCTCCAGGTGCCTGTGCATTGTGTGAACTTCTCATGAATTCGTACATGTTGGTGTTTGTATGATGGTTAGGCTGTTTGACTCTCAGAATAACAACAGAGGTGGCTACAATGTTGGAGGTACTTACTACTATGAAGGCAGTGATGTTCATTTTGAATGGTAAGGCACTGTGTGTGTGTGTGTGTGTGTGTGTGTGTGTGTGTTTGTGTGTGTGTGTGTGTGTGTGTGTTTGTGTGTGTGTGTGTGTGTGTGTGTGTGTGTGTGTGTGTGCGCGCGCGCGCGTGTGTGTATGTGTGTGTGCATGTGTGTGTTATTATTATTATAAGTGTGTGGGTTACAGTGAGGGCTGCGTCCCACCCGCCTGTGTGGATTCACAGGAAGTGTGAGTTACGAAGTCTGAAGAAAATATTGAACGGCCTCTGCTGGGATGACGACTACACCATAGCTCAGTGGTTAGAGCATCGCTGGCTACAAGCGAGGGTCCCTGGTTCGAGTCCTGGTGGTGACAGTCAATTTTTTCTTCAGACTTTTCCCGTTTGTCTCTTTCCCTCAAACCAGTTAATATTTTATGACTTGGGGCTCCCCGCGTGCTAGTTTGTACGTGAAGTGTGTGGGTTACAGTGAGGGCTGCGTCCCACCCGCCTGTGTGGATTCACAGGAAGTGTGAGTTACGAAGTCTGAAGAAAATATTGAACGGCCTCTGCTGGGATGACGACTACACCATAGCTCAGTGGTTAGAGCATCGCTGGCTACAAGCGAGGGTCCCTGGTTCGAGTCCTGGTGGTGACAGTCAATTTTTTCTTCAGACTTTTCCCGTTTGTCTCTTTCCCTCAAACCAGTTAATATTTTATGACTTGGGGCTCCCCGCGTGCTAGTTTGTACGTGAAGTGTGTGGGTTGCAGTGAGGGCTGCGTCCCACCCGCCTGTGTGGATTCACAGGAAGTGTGAGTTACGAAGTCTGAAGAAAATATTGAACGGCCTCTGCTGGGATGACGACTACACCATAGCTCAGTGGTTAGAGCATCGCTGGCTACAAGCGAGGGTCCCTGGTTCGAGTCCTGGTGGTGACAGTCAATTTTTTCTTCAGACTTTTCCCGTTTGTCTCTTTCCCTCAAACCAGTTAATATTATTATTATTAGTATTATATACGCACAATGTTAAATTATTAGTATTATTATTCCCGTAGCTATGCAGAAGACGTTACTTCAGTAACGTCTGGCGCTAGCCAGGGTCCACACAGCTTTAATTTGGTGTTTGTTTGTTTGTTTGTTTGTGTCACACTTGGCGCTGTCCCGTATCTGTCCCGTACCGTACCGTACCAGCACAGACAGCTGGCCACAATAATTATTAGTTGTTTGTTTGTGCCATCAGCATGCCCGGCGCTATCCCATACCTGTCCCGTACCATCAAGAGTACGGTACCATCAAGAGAATGAGTATATATGCGAAGTGTATGGGGGAATGCATTCAGGCCGATAGTGCAGTAGCATTTTGTGTGGATTTGTGTGCGAGGCCGAGATCCCACTGGCAGGCTGGCTGGGCCGCCTGTCGACCAGCCCGGGAATCGCATGTAGGCCGATAGCATAATAATTATAACGTATATAGATGTATAGCAGGTATTCGTATTATGTAAACGACTCCCTGCTGTACAGAATGATTTTCTGGAAAGAAATACGAAGTAGGGAGACGAGGAAATGCTATTAGAATGGACGTTAGTTGCCGAATAAAAGACAGGATGCGTCGGAAAAAACATACTTTCGAAGAGAGATCCTGTCATCTCCAAAATAATCCTGAACGGGCGAGTCAGCGCCGGTCACAGGAAACGTCGGAAGAGAGATCCCGTCGACTCCAGAACGTCCGTGATCGGCAGAGTCAGCGCCGGTCACTAGGGGTGTGCGGATAATGCTCGAAAAGGTGGCAGATTCTGCTCGAAAAGCAGTGAAATTGGCAGAACCATACAAACCTTATGGCGGGCAATTCCTCGAATTCTGCTCCATTTCTTTATCCACATACCAAACATGCATGAAACTTACCAGAAAAAGTACCGAATTCTGCCAATTTTTCTGCCGCAATTATCCGCATATGCCTACCGGTCACAGGAAACGTCAGGACAGACATCCCTTCGACTCCAGAACACTAGCCAGGGCCATCACAGCTTTGACACGTTACATGCATGATGAGCAAGCAAAAAAGCATAGCGTAGGGCCCTGAGCTTCCAAGCTCTCTCGTTTTATTTATTTTACTAGGGTGTGTGTGGATATGCGTGCGTGTGTACGTATGCGTATATTTCTTTGAATATTGGAAGGGGTGAGGGTGTATTCACAAGTTGATGGAATGGAAAAGGGAAAAGTCTGAAGAAAAATTGATTTTCACCACCAGGACTCGAACCAGGGACCTTCGCTTGAGGCCAGCGATGCTCTAACCACTGAGCTTTGGTGTAGCTGTCATCCCAGCAGAGACGGTTTAGGGGTATTCGTGTTCTTTTAGCTGATCCTAAATTGTTCTTATGTTTGCATCGTTCCAGGACCAATCAGCACTCGTGTGGCAATGAGAATAACCACTGTGAGTTGATCATCCAGTATCACTGTGACAGCACTATCAGAGATGGGTCAACTACAGGCACCATTCCGCACAACCCCGGCCTGTGTCAGGACTACAATTGCGTCACCGATTTGAAGTGAGTCAGTACACGCATGTATTGTAGCAGTGCGTATCAGTTATAAGGTTGTCGTCTAAGAATATTATTCCAGAATTACAGCATCTACAGTGATACGTGTATGATGTTCAGTTTCGTAAACACTGCCCTCTATTTATGACTTCATCGGTTATAGCGATAGTTGTCCATTCTTTCCCAGCAAATTCATGGACAACACTCGCGCTGCTGCCTGGAATTCACGCGTTTTTTTTGTCACTGGAAGCAAAGCTTCCATATTCGACACAGTACCCAAAAGAGCTAGAGAAAAATGCTATGTACATGTCTGCACATGCTAGAATACAACATACCGTAGGTTATTTGCTCACCATATCTACCCGTCTTGGTAGTCCTGATCCATGCCTCACTGTCACGGCTCATGACACATGTAGCTTGCGTAGCATATGACATACATGTAGGTGACGTAGCTGTTCTACTATAATGCTATGCTCAGGTACGGCATGCACGAGAACTTTGACTACTACCAGAACTGCCGTCATCGGGAGCGCAACATGGGACTGTTCATTGCGGACAGGGTAAGTATCTATTTGTGCACCCTCCTAGCTTTGACTCAAATTTCGCACCGCTATAGCAATGCTGTGCTGCATGATGGAGACATTTGCAGGTTGGTTGAGTTGATTAAGGGCCCTGAACTCCTTTTTTTGTGGCGTTCCGGGACCAGGTATTGTCCATAAATTTGAATTTTCCATAACACAACCGATCAAGCTTATTTAGATGGAGAAGGAGCAGAGATCTTGCATATGGCGTCATTGTCTCCAAAAACTTGACTTGAATGTGGTAGTATTTCAAAAACTTGACTTGAATGTGGTAGTATTTCAAAAACTTGACTTGAATGTGTATGTAGTATTTCCACTAAAACTCACTTACAGGGTGCCCGGTAGACCGACCGAGGTGCCTGTAACTTCGAGATCTGGACATGAAAAATGACTCTGCTGTCCCAGCTGGTAACTTGCTGGTTGTGTTGAATTCTTATCAGTTGATCTTGAACCGAAGCCGTGATCGGATTCAAACTCTCTGCATTCCACACCTGCTGATCATCAGTCGTGCAAAATCCTGGCCACTACCAGGTTTTCCATATCGTTGTCTCTTGTTTTCGACTCTTCTGTACAGAATCTGCGGGGCACTACGGCACGGTTCACTCGTCAGAACAACAACGGCAACCGTCATGCCTACGAGTGTCCTGAGGAGCGTGACTATTACCCCTACTGGGAGCCAACTCCGTGGAAGGTACTAGTACTTTTTTCTATCGAATATGTGCTGTTCCCATACATGAACTTGAAACGTAAAATGGCGTAGAACAAATCAAGCATTATTTTCAGTTGTTCTTCGCTCTATGCATGTACCTCATATTTAGTTATAAAAGTCATCGTCATAATCCTTTACAATCTTTGATCATTCTGTGAGAGCCATCCCTTGACTGGTGAAAAGGCATCATTAACCCACTGGCCAAGTTGTTTGCTCTAGTGCCTTGTAGCAGAGTCACAGGGTGCCTGGTTTCAACACGGCATCTTCTGAAGAAGAAGAAAAAAGCATGTTTGTACAACCCCCTTTGGGCTCCTGGATGCGGGAGGCCAATGGCCTATGCGATGCCCCTACATAAAAAAGAGGAGTTGCACTTGCAACGGGCCTGAGCAAAGTTAATCATGAAGGCCATGATCGATCATGACGTTGGCCATGAGTCTCTATACGAATTGTGTGTCAACTGTGTCAAGTCCTCATCTCATCTAGTTACGAAGTAAGGGAAACAGCTATGCAGTCTGTTACAGAATAATCCCCACAAATCAATCAGGGCAGTCATTGTGTACAATGAAAAATGTAGTGCTGGGCCCTGTGCGCGGACTAGGCAACCCCAGTGATTTATTGGATTATTTTGCCACCAACTGTACTTAAATAAGGTCTAAAATGCTCTAGAAAAAAATTATCCCCCACCCGGTCCACAAAGAACGAAACTTTAAACGTACTTCGAAGTAGATTCATCAGCTCTTTGAAACATAGTATTGATTTGTGTGAGGTGAAAGTAGGCGTGCTTCTCGGCATTCTCTCTAATGTGTAATGCACTAGGACATCGTCATCATGACAAATGACACGCGTCGATGCCCCTATTACCAGCAAGAGAGCCAGAACGTGAAGAGTCGCTTCTCCTGCATCGTACCCAGCCCGTACTTCCAGTACAACCGAGAATGCCGCGGCGGAAACCGGTACATCATACCGATCACTCGCGAGGAGTGCGAGGTCAGGATACACTCCTCACCGTATTATTCTGTGTTCTGTGCGCTCCCAGTGTATGCTCACTTTGCACTGATATCATTCGCATTGCATAGTCCCACATGAGCTGAATATAGGGATTGCACTGACCTCTCATGTTCTTGGCATGGAGAAGGTGTTACGGTTTAGTCTGTCAAGCCTCGTCCTTTGGTGCATGCATACCCATTACATGCTTTCTTCATTCTCGTTGCATACTGTAGTTCCCTGAATATATGTCGCCCTCGATTATAAGTCGCACCTCCATTTTCAGGTTTGAGCAATATTGTTTTGATGTTATCACTTCAGAAGTAAGTCATGCTCGATTGTAATTCGCACCTGCCTTTTGTGCCCATGAATTTTAGTGTAAAAAGGTGCGACTCATATTCGTGGAAACACGGTATTCCTGCACAAATAGAATGTAGGGATCCAATCGGCGTGTCATTTTACTTGGAATTTGTTGCCAAAACCTCCAATGGTTTCCTTTCCTTCCTCCGCGGTGTGTAGGCTGTCACGTGGAATTTCGAAAGAGACGCGTCAAGGACCAAGTGCATCAATGCGATCACCGTAGATCCTACGCGTGACAACACAACGCAAATCCTGTCCGGCGTGTGGGCCGAGTACCCCAGTCACGGCATCGCTGCACCCGACTGCCTCGAGGCTCCCTGGTCACGTGACAATCACCTTGGTAACGGCATCGGTGGCTTCCCAAACACGTACAACTGGACGATGCCCAACTTGGAGCATGAGTTCTGCGTCTTCCGTATGCGGTAGGTTCTTGCGGTGATGACGAATTGTTGTGCTTAAAGGGGAAGTATACCCTAAAATCAAATTTTCACCAGTTGTAGTCTTCGGGGTGCTGAGTCGAATGGTCTTGGTCCGAGGAAGCTGAGACGCTCCCTTCCTACTTGAATCCCAATCGAACTCGCGCACTTCCACCGAAACTGGGTGACTGCGCCCTACTAGATGGGGATTTGTATGCAAAATGTCACTAAAAGCGCCATTTCGTTCTTATAAAAGCACGGATGACCGCGATTGGCCCATATGTTGTAGTCTTTTGGACGCTGAGTCGACTGGTTTTGGTCCGAAAAGGCTGCGATGCAGCGTTCCTCCTTTATTCCCAATCGAACATGGTTGAACAAGCGGTCACGTGCTCCTGGGTGCCCAAATCACCTGGTCACCGCGCCAGCAGGCGACAACTTTCACACCAAGGTTCAACTCGAGTGACAGGACTGCACCCAAAAAAGGTCAAACAGGCTAGTAAGTTGTACCCTGCCGGCACGGTGACCAGGTGACTGGTGTACGCACGAGCACGTGACCGCTTGTTCAACCATGTTCGATTGGGAATAAAGGAGGAACGCTGCATCGCAGCCTTTTCGGACCAGAACCAGTCGACTCAGCGTCCAAAAGACTACAACATATGGGCCAATCGCGGTCATCCGTGCTTTTATAACAACGAAATGGCGCTTTTAGTGACATTTTGCATACAAATCCCCATCTAGTAGGGCGCAGTCACCCAGTTTCGGTGGAAGTGCGCGAGTTCGATTGGGATTCCAGTAGGAACGGAGCGTCTCAGCTTCCTCTGACCAAGACCATTCGACTCAGCACCCCGAAGACTACAACTGGTGAAAATTTGATTTTAGGGTATACTTCCCCTTTAACCCATCAATCACTATGACTTCGTCCTCTTTTCCAGAAAAAGTCACCACTAACTAGCTAAGAAATGTATAAAAACAATTTTATGCTGCTAAGTTTTTGCTTTTCCTTTTGCCATCGAGTGATGATGTCCCCTGTTGGAGTGGTCGGCTATATTCACGTTCAGAGGTACCAAATCAGCATTCCATTATTCCATAAATTGCAATGGTGTTTAATACACACCCTCTGTTTGACAGACTGCTTATCTTGTGTTTTGTCCGCAGCTACAACATCACTACATCGGAATATGATGCATGGTCACCGGGCAGGAACTGGACGGAGCTGAATTCCGCTCGCCCCAACCGACCCACAAATGTTCCTGTTTGGGAGCAGGTGAGCGTTGTATTGAGTATGGTCATTCTTTTCTCACTCACACGTCAGTACTGCACACATACTCACACACACCACACACACACACACACACACACACACACACACACACACACACACACACACACACACACACACACACACACACACACACACACCTGCACACCTACACACACACACTCTCTCTCTCACACACACACACACACACACACACACTCACACACACACACACTCATCACAGAATAACAACTGCGGGGACAGCCACAGCAAGAAAACAAAAGATAGTTGTGTAGCCTCCATGGGGCACGGGGGGGGGGGGGGGGGGGGGAGGGGGGAGGGGGTCACGTGCCCCCTCCCCTAAAGATTTCAACCCACATGTAGGTTCAGCATGCACATTATGACAATGAATGACATGCACCAGCTATCCTACACATATGCGACTGTGCACCCCCTAGAAGGGGGACCAGCTACGCCCCTGATGGTGATTTTCAATGGTGGCCAAAGAAATCCAACCCGTGAGCCGAAAGCAGCGCCAGGTCTCATGCGGTCCTCAGATGGGTATTTGAACAGTGCATGATGCAATCGGAATGTTAACACGACACTAATTTTGATTCGCGGGTCGGATTTCTTCTGGCGACGATTGTACGACTCTTTATACTTAGTTATGAATATCCGTGAACTCTCAGCCATTTGAAATGGTGATCACAACTTAAGTGGCCTGGAGATTGCAGGGTTTTAGACATAGTGAAGCCTTGAGTCTACTGCCAGACATTGTACATACCGGCACGTTTGCGTGAGACACTGACAACAGCTACATTTTGATTACAGTAAACTAGAGGATCACTCTTTGGCGAATGATCGTGCACTCAACATACTTTGAGAGGCTAGGTCAGAGCGATTTTGGGCTGTGTGGGATTACAAAATATGTTGCTTCTACGAATCCGTGCTGACATTGTCTCTGTAGGTTGGACTGAATGAAACTCTGGGTCGGGCGCGCGGATACGAGTTTGAGCAAAACCCCGTCGTGGATATTTTCGGCACGCCCAACCTGCCATTGAGGCTCGCTATCAACACGAACCAGTTTGGCAGGACATTTCAAGACAGGTACGAGCATTCAACCCGTCTGGTTTATCTGAGTGTCGATCCTTGTCAGAATGTTTTGGTAACTTCTCTTCTCTCAATTATTTCTTACGAACAGTCTACAGTTATCTTGCCATGTAGTGAGGCAAAAAACACTTCATTGTAGCTGACAACCACCCACCCACCGAAAAGAGTGCTGTGTGCATGAAATGTGATTTTCTAAAGATCCTTGCGACGTTTGATAGAGAAAACCGAAGTTCACCAACACACAGGCTTCTGGAATCAAATATTTTACGGATGCCAAAAGCCTCCTTTAGTCTCTCTCTTCCCTGCGGAACGGAGACAGGATATCTTTGTTTGCGACCCCAATTATTGTTGTTCTTTTCCCAGATCGCACACGTTTGCGTCTCGTCCGCGACCAGAGGATTTGGAGGATGCCGTCATCCACAATGTGCAGGTGCGCGGCAAACGTGGCAACATCGTTCAAGTGTATCCCGGGGTGGAGTACGACTTCGCCCCCAATCGACTACAGCTAGCAACCAATGACTACATCCATTTCCAGTAAGCAGCTACACTTCACTACTAGGTAGTAGGCATTGCTGTTCCCTTTGCCAATGTTAGAAATGGCAGTTTGGATCTAGATTTAGGCATCGTTGGATTGTGTATAAAATAAAGTAATTGCACCTCCACCAACAGGCCGAAAGCTGCTGGTTACCTTTTGAGAACAAGGTGTCTAAAATACCTGGATTATTTGCTGATATTCTAACACTTGAGTTTCTTACATGCAGCAGCCATGTGCCTGTTGTGTCCTGCTCAAGGCAGACCAACTCTTCGAAAGACGAGAATGAATCATCAGTAAAATGCAATGGCTTTTAGAGGGAAGCTTTCTCAATATGCGAGGACTCCACTGTAGCCATCCGTCAACAATGTATATCGTTCAAGCAATATGACGACAGACCGCTGATGGCAGAGTTGTGATGCAGCTGCTGCGCTAGACGCCGTGCATTGCGCTGTTGGAAGCCTGACAGTCTGTTATTGTTGATAGACGCCACCCTGTTCATATCTCTCACCGAATGGATATTTTTGTGATTTCATTCCATATCACTATTTCATCTAGCATGCTAGTACTGTTTGTCGGCAGTTCCGAGCAGATACTGTGACCCCTTGAGGATATGCATGGCCACGATGAGATTCCGGGGAAAAAATCTCTGAACTGTGAACAAGATAACCAACCCACTACCATTACTGCATGTTGCTCTAGGTGGACGGGCTCCAACACAAATCCCAACAACAACGACGGTCAGGGGCGCCGTGGCACCGACCGACACAACGCCGTGATGCTGCACGAACCTCGGTATCCGGAGAGACCGGCCCAGGATCCGCTATTGAGGGAGCAGGTGTTTGGCAAGTGGGGCCTCAGCTATCCGCAGCACTTGGATAACACGACTTTCCTAGGACTGAGTAGAGAGGATACAGACAGCCTGGCTTTGCTGACATCCAGTAAGTATGCGTTTGACTATAACTTATAAGAGCAGGGGGCGTCGCACACGGTATGGTCACTACGGTATTGACCGTACCACTATTTGCCCCAAGTACCCTGTGAATCAATACAATAAATGCACTGATTTGGGCTCTAAATTTCCAAATTTTTGGGCTCAGCCACCGCTCACCCACGAGTAACTTGTACTTCAGATGGCTGACCGTACCGCACTAGTTACCTTCCGACGCCCCTGAAGAGGCTGTTATTTGTAGCAGCAGCTATAGATTATATCTCCTCTGTCTTTTCGACTATCCACAATACTTTACATGTTGTCATGCCTTATTTCGTAACTGTTTTATCTGAAATTCCTGCTGCCCATGGGTTGCTAAGGGATGACTTCATGCATGATCTGTGCCATTTGAACTGGTGAGTATGTATGTGCTGACCGATGCAAATTTGCGTTAATGCGGACAAATTTTCGCACTCACCCCTCAAGTTGGCCACAACTCTGGTGTGATACAATAGTCCTTATGCACATTGTACAGATGTACGAAGTTCTGTACTATGGCCGTAGGTGTGTACATACCCGGTTGGGTGTTCATTGTGTGCTATACATGCGCGTTTGACCCATTTAGCCTCACAATTCATGGCAAACGATCACTTTTCAAGCCTTCTTCACTTTGGGATTGAACTAACGACTAGCTAGATCTCTGCCGGAAAAAGATTTCGTATGAAATGCCTTCAGGGCCCATTTCATAGTGGAAATAGCAATAAACACTATAGGGTCCTGCACATTCAACACCCAACCGGGTCTACGGGATTCTACAAGATTATACGGATTTCGTGCATCTGTACAATGTGCATAAGGCCTATACAAGGCTGAAATACTGGTATTGATTCCTCTGCTCGAAAGATGTTTTACATGTTATGGTGGTGTAAGCACATCCCGTGCTGCCTTACCTAGCGTAGCATGTTCACT